AAAGAGTGTCTCCTATATTTCCTTTTCCCTTTGATTGTATGTTACTTCAGCCTTTTTCTTATCCAAGTTCTGTTATTTTTCTGGTGGAATCAATTGGACTATAATAACAATCAGCCCAAATCAGTGCAAACTAATTGCCCTAGTTATCAAGATGGCCAAATGCAGGGAAACAGCTTTCAAGTTTGAGGGATGCACATCACTCCAGGGCTTGCAATGCTCTTGGTGCCTGATTTTGTATCTTTTTAAATTCTGCTGTGGATTGACATGTAGGGACACCTGTAGTGTGACCATTCAAGGTTAAGGGAAGTCAGAATAAAGACAAGGCACTGTTCACATAAATCGAGCTCAAGCTGGCCCTGCAAAAAGGATCTCAGAATGATGGCAAGTCAATGTACTGTAGATGCAAAAAGGAGATATGCATGTGTCCTCCACCTTTATAGACATAGTCACATCCCTCTCAGTGGAACAGGAAAATAAACGGATGTTCTCCATTCCTGAGGGCTCTGGTGATACACAAGGTACTTTTCTTGATGCATATATGCAACAAGGATGATATAGAGGAAGGAGGATGTATACTTTCTAGCCACAGATGGACAAATTCAGGTCAGAAACATGAAGAAAAAAATCTTACTTAACCACTAGAATAACTTACCAAGGCTATGGTGGATCCCCCACTGCTGGAAATTTTCAAGTGAAGAGTGGATGCTTTTTCTGAGAAAGAAGCTCTAATTCTAGCCCCACTACTGAACTTGAATTAGGAATAATTTGATAAACCTGTTACTTTTTGAGAGGTACGACTATTCATTGACAAAAGTAACACAAACTTGACATAATGACCAATAAGCAATGTAGGGAGGGAGGAAGAAAGAAGTATTTACAAAAGAAGCAAACACAAGGAGCTGTTTTTGTTTGGTTTTTTTTTTTTTTTACTTTGAGGAATAAGCCATGTTGCAAAGAAGAAATGTTGAGAAATGCAGAGAATTATTGTACTGATGATGTTCTCACCTGTCTCTTGTATGTCTCCAGCTGGCTACGTGCTGCATTGGCTTTCCGAAGTTCTTCCTCCAGGCTCACAGTGTTTTGCATGTACACCATATTTTTCTCTTCTAATAGTTTCACTTGCCGCCGCAAATCACCCAGGTCTTCCAGTTTCTTTTTGTATGACTCTACCTGGCTTTCTAACTTAGCCACTTTATCAGAAGAATGCCTGGGAAGACAAGAGATTGAACATTTGTATCAAATCTGTACTTGGAACACTAAAAATCAATGTAGAAAACATTCCCAGATATCAAGGGAGCAGAAGAACACAAACATCCTCACACACTACTAAATGTCTTGGTTTTCAAGTTGTCTGCTCCTCCCCCCCATTAGTTGACACAAAGTGCTGTTATCAGAAGTGCTTTTGAATCGCATAATTTTTCCTATAATTTCCTTATCTGCTTCCAATATTAATTAAAAAATTAATTGTTAACACTCCTAAAATTCCAACCTATTTCCTTCCAACTCTAAATTCATCCTCAGAAGCCAGTGCTTTACCAGAGTAAAAATAATATTTTCTGCCCTTCATTTTTCTTTTTTTTAAGATAACCAGGGATAAACGTGTTCTGAAAAAGGAAATGGCAAATTTATGCTAACAGCTATTATTTCCATTTCCCAAGCAGTCATATAGGATTACCATAATAGTTTTGGAGTCTGAATCCTTTTTAAAAAAAAACGCAAGACAGAGCTCAGTTTATAATACATTCAATTTTCTCAATATTGGATCATTACTTTAAATTTTAACCAACTCCTAAGTAATTCACAACTTGATTGAAAACAAACAACATGAGGAAAATATCCTCTAAATTGAAAGTTTTCACAAAAATTTCAAACACCCAAAACCTGTAAGCTAACAATAACAAATGAATCCCCATAGCCATACTCAACAGTGTGAAACTAGAATGAATTCAGCTGAACTGAACTTTTTGGTACTTAGTAATCTGATGTCAGACTGCTTGACACGCAAGTTAGAACCATCATTTTGATGGTCACAGAGTGGCTTTTACTTACTTGCTTAAGAAGTGTTTTAATACATATCCATCCTTAAAACTATTACACGAAAAGCTAATGAAGACTAAATTTAATTATATGAATTTTACTGTGGATTAAAACTATTTATATATTCTAAAAAAGAAAAAACAACCCAAAGCTAATGGAACATAGTTTACCTGAGTACATCTATTTCATCCTTCAAAGACTGAGACTCTTCTGCTAATGTACTAAGCTCTTCAGTCTGTTGTCTCAGTTCTGCAATTTCCTTTTCTAGTTCTTCACAACGTATGCGAAAGTCATCTTTGGCAGCTTCTAACCTGTACAATCGAAGTAAAACAGGATGACATGGTTGAGAGCCTCTGGGTAAGAATTAGGGGAAAAAGCTAATAAAGTGGATGTTGTTGTGGGAGTCTACTATAGATCACCCAGCCAGGCCGATGACACCAATGTATTATTCTGTAAGGAATTAAGGGAAATCTCTAGATCAGTTGCCCTTGTTCTTATGGGTGACTTCAACTTCCCAGATGTTAATGAACAGATCCAGGAAATTCCTGAAACACATTGAAGATATAACTTTTTGATACAGGTACTAAGAGAGCCGACTAGGAAAGGTGCCCTCTTAGATCTGTTGTTTGTAAATAGAGATGGTCTCATGGGTGATGTGATGATTCATGGCTGTCTTGGCCACAGTGATCATGAAATGGTTCAGTTTAAAATCTTTGGTGATATGAGAAAAATTGTTAGCAGAGCTACTACCCTGGATTTTGGGAGAGCAGACTTCAGGCTGCTCAAGAAACTAGTTAGTAAGGTCCCCTAGGAATCTGCTTTTGAGGGTGTTGGGGTCCATAAATGCTGGTCACTTTTTAAGAGCCATCTTTTAAAAGCGCAGGAGCAGGCAATTCCAATGTGTCAGAAGTCAAGCAAGTGGGGCAGACCGGCTTGGATGATCAGGGATCTCCTTCTGGAACTTAGGAGGAAAAAGAAAGTGTATGGACTTTGGAAGGAAGGTCAGGCTACACAGAAGGACTACAGAGATGCTGTTTGCCACTGTGGGGAGAAAATTTGTACAGACAAAGTTCAGTTGGAGTTGTAGCTGGCCAGTACTGTGGTGGATAACAAAAAAAAGGCTTTTTTAAGTATGCTACAGCAAAAGGAGGACTGAAGAAAATATTGGTCCGTTACTTGATGAGGTTGGTCACCTCACAAATAGGGATGTAGACAAAGCAGAGATGTTTAATGCCTTGTTTGCCTCTGTCTTTGACACCAATGATGGGCTCTGGGACCCCTGGAGCCGTGGATTGGAGGACTGCGACTCGGGGAGTGAAGCTCCCAGTTGACTTTGAACTTATATGGGATTTGCTGCTGCAACTGAATCCACATAAGTCTATGGGGCCTGATGGGATTCATCCCAGGGTACTGAAAGAGTTGGCCGATGTTATTGTGAGACCTCTCTCAGTTATTTATCAACGGTCTTGGGAATCTGGAGAGGTCCCAGTAGACTGGAAGCTAACAAATGTTATTCCAATTTTCAAGAAGGGCAAGAAAGAAGACCCTGGTAATTACAGGCCTGTCAGTTTCACTTTGGTGCCTGGCAAAATTATGGAGAAGATTATTCTGGGAGTTACTGAAAAACACTTGAAAGACAATGCAGTCATCAGTCAGAGAAAACATGGGTTCATGAAGGGAAAGTCATGCCTTACTAACTTAATATCCCTTTATGACAAGGTTACCCATCTAGTGGACGAAGGGAAGGCAGTGGATGTGGGTTTTTTTTTACTTATTTTAGCAAAGTTTTTGATACTGTCTCTCACAGTATCCTTCTGGACAAAATGTCCAGCATACAGCTAGATATGTATGCAGTACGATGGGTGAACTATTGGCTGAAGGGTCAGGCTCAAAGAGTTGTAGTAAATGGGGTAACATCTGGCTGGCGACCAGCCACTAGTGGTGTTCCCCC